ACTGCTGAAGATGTTAGATTATTTAGAAGTTTAAAGCTGTCTTTTGGCAAGGGTCAGGTCTCTAGAGCTTCTGTGCTAAATGTGGGCCAGGGGTTCTCAACCCTTTCTGTGTCATGGACCCCTTTGGCAGTCTGGTGAAGCCTATGGACTCCTCAGAATAATATTTTTATGATGACAAACATTTATTAAGTGTTTACTATGTTCCAGGCACTATGCTAAGCATTGGGAATACAAACACAAGCAAAAAGAAAAACAGTCTCTGCCCTTACGGGGGAAATTCTAATGGGAAAAAAATAACACATAAAAAGGAGATGAAAGGCCAGGTATGGGGGTGGTAAAGGAGGAGAATATCTTCAGGGGTGTATGGTGGGGACATCTGGAGAGTTCAGGTAGAGACAGGAAAGGAATGAAAGATGACTGGCCTGGATCCTTCCTCAAGATGGAGATTTAGGAGGAAGTTAGCAAGGTGAGATGATATGACATAAAATAACCGAAGACTAAAAGGAAATTGCATTGAAATATAATTATAAAAATATTTATTTAAGAACCAAGTTCATGGACCCTAGGTTAAGAACCTCTGCTTTAAATATTAGGTCAACTGCAAAATGCTCCACATTCCTTATCTCCGTTGAGCCTCACAACAACACATTAATGTAGATACTATGGGTATTTTTATTCCCATTTCACAGATGAAGATATAGAGACTCAAAGAGATTGTGACTTGTCCATAGTCATACAACTAGTAGGTGTCAGAGGGAGAGCTCAAACCCAGGTCACTAACCCAACCAAGTTTCTAGGTAGACTACCTACTAATATTTCTCATAGCTTCTCTGCCAGGACGAATCCTGCTCAAGGCTGTGATTTTGAAAGCAAACTCTTTAGAGGTTGCTCTCAATTTTTCAGGAATCCAGAAGCCTAGAACTATAGCTTTTAATCCTTAAAGCCACAGCATTTTTACTGCATACATGCTGGATTTGTTGAGGTCCCTGAAGACTGAGCAGATGTCTCAGTGGAGTCACCATGTGACCTTGCTAATGCATGTATATGCTACCAAGAATGATGCCATAGTAATTGCTAGTGTTTGGGCAAGTGCCTCATCTGCCTACTGATCTGTGCTTTTTAGTTTTGGTAGTTAGAGAAGATGTGGAGATTCATAAGCAAGTACATCATTCAAATTAGAGATCAGTTGAAGGAGGCCTTTTTCTTAGCTATGCCTACAATTCAGAAGTTCAGGGAGAAACAAGAAATGATATGACATTTAAATAAGCTACCAGAAACTCCAGGTAGGTGACAAAGTCCTGCTATGAAACCTTTGTGTCCAGATAAAACACAAACATAAAAACAGCCTGGTGGTGAGACACCTAATACTAAATAGTTGAAAGAAACCTTAGTCTATGAAGTAGTCCAACAAAGGAGATAGGGGCTTGACAAAATGGCAAATCACAAGTATCTGCTTTCATTAGGGACTTAGTTGTATGGAGACCAGATCAGGTGCAATGGAAAACTGAGGAAATGATATTGGAGAGATACACAACTGCCAGTTGTAGGTAGATAGCTGGATAATGTTCCACATGGAGAGGATCTCAATCAAGATCCAGATGAGGAAGAAACTATATGATGGTGACCTCTTTAGGACTGGGAAAGCTTACCAAGACAGACCCAGCCTCACTTCTACCTGGATAGGTAATGGTGGTGGTGATGGTGGTGATAGTGCTGGATCCACAGGCAATTTCTTTCATGGCTGACTAGGAATTAGAGTTAGCAGCATTATTCCTAGGCCATATAGGAACCCCGAACTGGGACTTTAGTCCAGTGGACCTGAGGATATCAACTCACCCACATGGAAGGCAGAGACTGAGGTTGTGGCAATGGAGCATTCCAAAGGGCCACTACTACCCAACAGGCCAGTGGCTACACTGATATGTAATGTACTTGGTGTGAGGGCTATGGAGGACATACAGAGTGATTCCCATTGATGAAGTGTGTATAAAGCATACTTGATGCGAAAACTTAACATGTGTTGCTATGAGTTAAGTACTTTGAATTACATGTTTGGTATACTTTATGCAACTCTAGTTTGGATGTTTTGTTATGTGTTATGAGCAGTAACTGCCTTGCTTTTCTATTTGCACTTAGCACAGTGCTTTGCCTATGATAAATGCTTTTTCATTAGTTTAAAGAAAAAAGCAAAAAGCACAAGGACCAAACAGATTTACAAACGAATTATTTGAAATAATAGACATAGAGAGACCCTACCAAACTACTTTGATGAAACAAATATGATACTGATTCCTAAAACAGGAAGAGTAAAATCAGAGAAAGAAAATTATAAGCCAATTTCATTAATGAATATAGATGCAAAATCATAAATAAAAAACTAGCTATAAGATTACAACAATATATTACAAAGATTAAACTTTATGAGCAACTAGGATTTATACCAGGAATCAGGGATGTTTTAACTTAAGGAAAACTATTAACATAATTGATTATATCAATAATAAAAGTTTTAAAAATTATATGATTATATCAGTAGATGCAGAAAAAAAACCTTTTGATAAAGTATAACACTCATTTCTATAAGTAGCACTTGAAAGTGTAGGTATAAGTGGAATTTTCCTTAAATTGATAAAAAAAAAGCATTCATCTGAAACCATAAACAAACATTATTTGTGATGTGGCCAAGCTAGAAGCCTTCCAAGTAAGATCAGGTTTGAAACAAGGATGCTCACTGTCACCAATATTAATCACCATTGTATTAGAAATCCTAGCTAAATAAGAGAAATAGAAGGCATCAGAATAGGGAATGGTATAATAAAACTATCTCTTTTTGCAGATGGTATGATGATATACTTGGAAAATCTTAAAGATTAAAAAGTTAATTGAAAAAACTAATAATTTTAGCAAGGTAGCAGGATACAAAGTAAATCCACATAAATCATCACCATTCCTACATATCTCAAACAAAACCCTACAAGCAGAGAGAGTAAGAGATACCCCATTTGAAATAACTCTAGACAGCATAAAGTGCCTGGGAGTATGTCTAGCAAAACAAAATAGGATCTAAAAAATTATAAAAAAATTATACAAATAAAATCAGATATACGTAATTGGAGAAATATTAGTTGTTCATGAGTAGGCAGGGCAAAAATGACAATTTTACCTAACCTAATTTATGTATTTGACAATATCCCATTTAAATGACCAAAAACTTATTTTATTGACTTAGAAAAAAATAACAAAATTTATTTGAAAGAATAAGAAGTTAAGAGTATAAATGAACTAATAAAAAAATGTAAAGGAAGGAGGCTTGGCATTACCAGATCTTAAAGTATATTGTAATACAGTAATTATTAAAATTATCTGTTACTGGCTAAGAAATAAAAAAGTAGATCAATAGAACAAAGTAGATGTACAGTTAACAGTGGCAAATAAATATAGTAACCTTGTATTTGACAAGTGTAAAGGCTTAAGATTTTGAGATAAAGATTCATTTATTTGGCAAAAATTTTTAGGAAAACTGGAAAGTGGTATGGCAGAAATTGTCCATAGATCAATATCTTACAGCATTTACCAAGTTAAAGTCAAAATAGATACATGATCTAGATCTAAAAAGAGATATTAAGAGAACATTTGAAGAACACAGAACATATTACTTATTAGACTTATGGAGATGAAAACAATTTATGAATAAATAAGAGATAGAGAGCAGAGTGGGGTATGAAATGGATAATTTTGATTACATTAAATTAAAAAGGTTTTGTATAAATAAAACAAATGTAGCCAAGATCAGAAAGAAAGCAGAAAATTGGAGAAAAATTTATAGACTTTTTTCAGATACAAGTCTCATATCATTCATACATATACACATATATGTGTGTGTGTGTGGGTATATATATTTATAAAATCTATAAGAATACAAGACATTCCCTAACTGATAAGTGGCTAAAGAATATGAATAGACAGTTTTCCAAAGAAGAAAGCAAAACCATTTTATAGTTGTATGAAAAAGTGCTCTATATAATTATTGATTAGAGAAATGCAAATTAAAGCAATCTTGAGATATAATTTTAAACCTAGTAGATTGGTAAAATGATTGAAGGGGAAAGTGAGAAATATTGTAGGGGATGTAGAAAAATTGGGACACTAATTCATTATTGGTGGAATTGTGAACTGATCTAACCATTCTGGGGAAGAATCTGGAATCATTCCCAAAGATGTTTTTAAACTGCCTATACACTTTGACCCAGCAATATCACAACTAGGTCTGTTTCCAAAGATAATTAGGGAAAAAGGAAAAAAAAAACACCTACATGTTCTAAAATATTTGTAACAGCTCTCTTTGTGGTGAAAAAGAACTGGAAATTGCAGGGACGCCCATCAATTGGAGAATGGCTGAACAAGTGATATATGATTGTGAAGGTATACTACTGTGTTATAAGAAATGATGAGCTCTATGACCTTAGACAAACATGAATAGACTTGCACAAAATAATGAAGAATGAAATGAGCAAAACCAAGAGAATATTGTATATAGTAACAGTAATATTGTTTTAAGAACAACTTCGAGTAAGTTATTTTGACTATTATAACTACTCAAATTAACTATAAAAGACATTTGAAAGAAGATGCTGTTTGCATCCAAAGAAAGAACTGATAAATAGAAGTATGCATAAAAAGATTTTCCATATATATATGTGTATATATATATATAATGTATATACATATTTGTATCTAATAGTAGCCATCTCTAGGATGGGGGGAGGAAAAATGGAAAAAAAGAAATGTACATCATAACTTCATAATATATTTAAAAAGAATAACTGGTCGTACTTTATTGATTTGCAGTTTCATGTGCAATCATCTTATTATTATTATACTGTGTTATTTAAATGCTTGTTTTATTCCATATATTTAAAATTAAATAAATAAATAATTTTTTTAAAATTAAAAAAGTCTCTGTGAATTGACCTTTTTGTCATATTGTCATATTGACAAAATTATGGGTACTTAAAATACTGAGGTTTTTGAGAACTGAAGACAAACTAGCTGAGATAGCTTTCCTTTCTGTAATTCATACAGAGAACCAGAGAGGTAGACAATCTTTAGAAGTGTTCTACTGGGATCTCAGGAAATGGGAATCTGTCAAAGATTTTATTTAAAAACAAATTCCATAGAGATTCACTTCCCAATTGACTTTCAATAAGCAATTACAAACTTTCTCATCTATCATTATCTGCAGCTCTTAAAAAAATGGCCATCACAAGGATGAAAAGGATGGGAAGGCTCCTAGGGAAAAAAAAAAAATTGCTGAGCACAGAAGGAAAACAATAGACCTTGAAATGAATACTTCATCTTTACTCTCCTGGGACTGGACTCCTTGTGCTGAGTAGTTGAACACCATATACAGCCTGATCTTCTGGCTTCTTTGTAGAAGAAAGTTTGTGTATGGACTTCATACTGCTTTCTTCTCATTGTGCCTCTTGCACAGTAATATACAGCTGTGTCCTCAGCTGTGAGTGATTTTAGCTGCAGATACAACTGATTCTTAGATGTGTCTGCTGTGATAGAGATTCTGTTTTGGAAATCAGGATTGTATTGTGTACTCCCACTCCAATATCCAATCCACACTAGCCCTTTCCCTGGAGACTGTCGGATCCAGTGCCAATAGTAACTGCTAGTAACAGAGCCACCAGTGACAAAACAGGTTAGTGTCAGGGACTCTGAGGGCTTTGCAATTCCTGGTCCTGACTCCTCCAGTTGCAGGTCAGACAAGACACCTAGGAACAAGGAGAATCACATTAAGTTTTAGCACTAAAATAATTTCCCCTATAAACCCATTAGTTAATCTCTTAATCGTTGTTGTCCAGGACCTACCTGCCACCAAGCAGAACAGAAACCAGAACAATTTCATGGTCTTCCAGGTGAATGAGACTTTTTGTCCAGAAACCTCCATCTCAGGGTGAGAAGAGAGACTGACCCTCCCCAAGCCAAGACTGAGTTTTCACTTGGCAGCCTGGGAGGCTTAATTTGCATGTGGAGGGTATTGGTGTATATAAAATGAGTTTGAGCAGAAAAGCCAGATTTCTTTCCCTGGGGCTTTTCCTGGATTCAGCCAATAGGAGCTAGTGTAAGATATCGTTGCACCCATAATTGGGGCACCTATGTGGCTCAGTGAATACAGTGTCATGTCTCCAGTAATTCCTTACGTTTCTTCCTGAGATCAAATCTAACCTCAGACACTTAGAAGCTCTGTGACCCTGGGCAAGTCACATAACCCTCCTTGTCTCAGTTTCATTATCTGTAAAATGAGGTGGAGAAGGAAATGGCAAACCACTCGAATATCCTTACCAAGAAAACCTCAGATGATGTTACAAAGAGTCAGACACAACTGAAAAATGACTCAACAACATCTTTGCAAAGGTTTGATATGTTCACCAACTGTATGTTTCTATTACCCATACCTTTTCCTCCAGGGTGTTTGTAATTGCAAAGTTAAAAAAAAATTAATAGCCAGGGTTTTTCCAATATAACTAATAAAAAGCAAGAATTAAAATGTTTCTCGATGTATTATTGTATTGTATTGTATTGTGTCAATTGTTTATGCAACTGTTTTTTATTGTGGTGGTTCAGTCACATTTCAGTCATATACTACTCTTCATGATCCCATTGGAGTTTTCTTGGCAAAGATACTGGAGTAGTTTGTCATTTCCCTCTCCTGATTATTTTATAGATGAGGAACTGAGGCAAACAAGGTTAAGTGACTTGCAAAGCGTCATACAGCTAATAAGTATCTAAAGCCAGATTTGAACTCAAGAAGAGGAATCTTCCTGACTCCAGGCCTGATACTTTATCCACTGGGCCACCTAGGTGCCCTATTTAATAACGTAGATGATTATAAAACTGCATATTCTTAGACTTTGTTTTGAAAGAAAAGAGCTGGGTGACTTTGATTTGAGCATTGATGACTCCAGTTTTGGTATTTATTCTTTTGGGGCCATAAAGCTCCAATATAACTCCTTTGACCAGCATGTACCTTTAATTGATAGCTCTCACTGTGACACTTTACTCTGCTTGATTCTCTGGGGCAGTCCTTAATTCTCTTTCCACACCATGGCCAATATGTACTGCACCATGCAGAAGTAAATTCATTTTCTAGATTCAGGGTGTCCTGAGCTCTCAGACACAATCCCTCACTTTTGCCAGGTGTCAATTCTACATTCAGCTAACTCTTATTCTGGGGTATCTTTTGCTGTGTAAGATTTGTTGTGTTCAATGTATGGTCTGTAGTAACTTTTTAGAATAAAACCTGAGCCTGGGAAGCGGGAGGTGGAATAGCTTAAATAAGGTATGACCAGAGATAGAAACATAGCCTGTAGCATTCTGGAGCTGGCTCCAGTCACTTGAGGAAGGCCAATTGTTAAATTTCCAATGTAAGCACTTATACCTCAATGGGTACTTCTTTCTCCCTACCTCCCTACCTATCAACACTCACTCAAACTCTTAGTGCAAATAATTGGCTGTAATGGAGCCAATTACTGATCTTAGAGTCAAGAAGATCTGAGTTTAAATCAAAGCATAGACACTAACTGTGTGGGGCTTAGTAAGTCACTTAACCTCTGCTGCCTCAGTTTTCTCAACTGTAAAATGAAATCAGCTATTTTCTCATTTCTTACAGCATAGTAGGGGAGTTCAAGTGTTCAGGAAAGGCTAATACCTCTAGTGTGAAGGCTGGTAAACCCTTTTCAGGGCTGCTCATTCACCTTTGGTGTCTTCCTGCCACCCAACTCTTACCTGTAGCTCCAAGAAGCGGTAGCATGGGCAGCAATCTCTTTTCAGTTTTGGCAGACAGGCTAAACCAGGTTGAGATTAACCAACAGGCCTCAAACCTGTCAGTGAATTGGAGAGTGTCTACCCCAAGCATGCCACGACTTTCCCTGGCAGAATGGGCAAATGGGAACAATTTGTTCCAATGGACCACGAAGGTGGCGGAAGCAGGCAACGTGGAGCACTTAGAGGTTGGTTAGATATTAAAAATGCTAAGTGTGTCCACTGCAACCCAAGCCATCACCAGTCATCTTGACTTTTGTCTTGCCACTCAATCTGATGGTTCTAGAAGAGAAAGTGAAGCTGATGATTGCTTGCAACTTTGCCTTACTTAAATCCAATTTATACATAAGTCAAAAGACATCACTCATACTGTTTTACCATTCTTACCTACCTCAAAATCCTTTGGCAATGAGTAAGTGACAAAGTAGCAGGTACACTGGGAGTTCTAGTGACAAACCTGTACAGAAGTGGCCCAGGCCAAAGGGTCATCTTCTTACTGGACTGAAGCAGCAACAGGAATCAGCAGCCCCCTGGGTGTCTGAGTAGCCTTTTTTATTTTAATATTTAATTAGTATTTTATTTTTCAACACAACTACATATCAAGAAAATTTTTAGCATTTGTTTTTATAAGATTTTGAGTTCCAAACTTCTCTTCCTTCCTTTCTGCTCTCCCCTTTTCTGAAAATGGTAGGCAGTTTAATATAATTTATCCAAATGCTATCATGTAAAATGTATTTCCGTATTTATCACAGTTGTGGAAGAACAAAGAGATCAAAAGGGTAAAAAACATGAGAAACAATAAAGTAAGTGAAAAAACATGCTTCAATCTGCATTCAGTTGTTTATTTGGATATGGAGAGCATTTTCCTTCATCAATATTTTGTACTTGTCTTGGATCATCGTGTTGATGAGAAAAGCTGAGTTATTCATAGCTGATCATCACAGGATGTTGCTGATATTATACCCAGTGTTTTCCTTATTCTGATCATTTCACTTTGTATCATTTTGAACAAGTCTTTGCAGGTTTTTCTGAAATGTGCCTGCTCATCATTTCTTATTGCACAATAGCATTCCATTATATTCATAATACTACAGGTTGTCCAGCCATTCCCCAAATGATGGGCATCCCCTCAATTTCCAATATTTTGGCATCATGTATTTTTGCACATGTAGGTCCTTTCCCTTTTTTAATGATCTCTTTGGGACACAGACCTAGTAGTGGTATTTCTGAATCAAAAGGTATGCAGAGTTTGATTGCTCTTTGGACATAGCTCCAAATTGCTCTCCAGAGTGGCAGGATCAGTTCTCACTTTCACGAACAGTTCATTAGTGTCCCAATTTTTATATATCCTTTCCAACATTTATCCTTTTCCTTTTTTATTTTTGTCATATTTGCCAATTGGATAGGTGTGAGGGGGTACCACTAAGTTTATTTTCCCCCAGTTACATGTAAAAACAATTTTAAACATTTGTTTTTAAAACTTTGAGTTCCAAATTTGCTCCCTTCCACCCTCTCCACCTCACCCCTATTGAGAAGACAAGCCATTCAATACAGGTTATACACATGTAGTCATGCCAAACATATCCATAATAGCCATGGTGTGAAAGAAAAGATAGACAAAAAAAAAAAACCTCAAGAAAAATAAAGTAAAAAAAAAAGTATGCTTCAATCTGTATTCATATGCTTCAGTCTGTATTCAGACACTGTCAGTTCTTTGGGGATGGATAGCATTTTTTCATTGTAAGTCCTTCAGAGTTGTCTTAGATCATTGTATTGTTGAGAATAGCTAAGTCATTCACAGCTGATCATCTTACAGTACTGCTGTTATTTTGTACACAGTACATTTCACTTTGCATCAGCCCATGCAAGTCTTTCCAAGTTTTTCTGAGAGCATCCTGCTCATCATTTCTTATAGTACAATAGTATTCTATCATAATCACAACCACAACAGGTTCAGCCATTCCCCAATTGATGGGCATCCCTCAATTTCTAATTCTTTACCCTCAGAAAAGAGCTGCTTTAAATATTTTTTACATAGAGGTCCTTTTCCTTTTTGTCTTTTATCTCTTTTGGGATACAGACCTAGTAGTGTTATTGCTAGGTCAAAGGGTATGCACAGTTTGGTTGCCCTTTGGGCATAGTTTCAAATTGCTCTCCAGAATGGTTGAATCAGTTCACAACTCCACCAACAGTGCATTAAAGTCTTATTTTTCCCACCTCCCCTCCAGCATTTGTCATTTACCTTCTCTGTCCTATTAGCCAACCTAATAGGTATGAGGTAGTACCTCAGAATTGTTTTAATTTGCATTTCTCCAATCAATAGTGAGTTAGAATATTTTTTTCATATGGCTATAGATAGCTTTGATTACTTCATCTGAAAACTGATCATATCTTTTGATCATTTATCAATTGGGGAATGATTCTTATTTTTATAAATTTGACTCAGTTCCCTGTATGTTTAAGAAATGAGGCCTTTATCAGAGAAACTTGCTTCAAATTTTTTTTCAGAGTTACTATTGCTAACTGTATTTCCTTCCATCTTATTCCTCCACCCCCATATATTCTATTCTCTCTATCCTTTCACCTTGTCCCTCCTCAAATGTGTTTTGCTTCTGACTACTCCCTCCCCCAATCTTCCCTCCCTTCTATCACCCCCCGTTCTCTTATCCTTTTCCCTCTCTTTTCCTGTACGAAAAGATAGAGTTCTATACCCAATTGCATATGTATGTTACTTTGAACCAATTCTGATGAGAGTAAGGTTCATTCACTCCCTCTCACCTCCTCTTTCCCCCTCTCCATTGTAAGAGCTTTTTCTTGCCTCTTTTATTTGAGACAATTGCATTCTACCTCTCCCTTTCTCTTTCTCCTAGCTGACAACCAAGTTTTCTATTCTTTTGGTTTTGTTTTTATTGTTTCTTGATTTCTCATAAAGTCATTAGCTTCCATTTACTCCACTGTAATTTTTAAGGAATTATTTTCTTCAGTGAGTTTTACTCTCTCACCTCTTAATTTTATTTTTCAGATATCATCCCTTCATATTCAACTCACACCTCTATCTATATGTACTCCTAACGCTGTAATAATGAGAAAGCTCTTATGAGTTGCAAATATTATCTTCCCATGTAGGAATGTAAACAGTTTAAATTTATGAAGCCCCTT